CCCCAAAACCCCAAAACCCCAAAACCCCAAAACCCCATAAAGCTGAGATTCCTAAATCAGAGTAGAAACTAGAATAATAAATAAATAGTTTATTTCATTTCCAATAAACGGATTGCCTATTAAAATAATAGACTAATATTTATTAATAAGAAGCGAGTGGAATTGAAAACAATGGAGATTGAACATGGATAGTAATAAGTCCCTACATATTTTAAGGATCAAGACATTAGTGATAGAATCCTTTTATACAAGAGAAAAGGATTTCTCGAGTATTTAAAAGGAAACATTATTCTGTTTAATCTTCTATGTGTATACGCCTTTTTTAGCGGAAAGTTAATTCACTGTATTGGGATTTAGATCATTAACATTTTCGTCTATTACTTAAATTCCCATAATAAGAGGTCCCTATACAATCTGACCATTTTCTTGTATTGGGTGCTCATTATGTTGTACTGTATTAAGTATCATACTGACGATTTAAGGACTTAACAAGCTTTTTTTGTCAATTAATTGTAAGTAGAATTGGTTTCTTTATATAATTTATAGTAATACGGCTTATATTCTATTTTTATTGTTTCTATCACGATGTTCAGATTTAAGCTGGAAGTTCACATCAGTCTTATTTTTATTCTCGCAGTTATATGCGTTCTTTTGCATTAACGATTCTATTGGAATGGTAATTCATATTTCATGTTACGTTCTTTAATTGTAGGAGCAAATTCCTTAAATAAATTATTTGGCATATCTCATTGAAATCGTTATATTTGTTAAGGCTGTTAAATTCTAAGATGATCTGCTTTAAGAGCTTAAGATCGCTATTGCTGAGACCAAAGATGTAAGAGTACAATATTTTTATTATTTCTGAAATATCCTTATGATAAATGATAGGCTGAACTTGATTTAAGAATGTTAGTGAAGCTTCTTCCAGAGGGTGTTTTAATACTTAATACAAAAAACAAAAATATATAACTCATAAATCGCACTGCTATCAAACTTTTCATCCCGAACAACGGAGATGATCCTTAGCTTGATAAAGAATCTTTAGGAACCTCTTGCTAAGCGACTCATTAATATTATGAAAGAATGAGACATGAAATCAACCACATAATATAATCAATCAATATCAGAGAGAGCTATTGCAAGTCAAATATTGATCGAAATAGGAAGCCAAGGATAAGAGATCTACATTCCTTTTTGTTTTATAAGGCTCAGTCAACAATAAACTTGCAAGGATAGTTTAAAATGATGACTAACAAAAAATAGATAGATTACCAGATTGTAAATTTAAACAGAAAACATTAAGTACTAGTCTTATTATAAGACTTGAATAAGGTCAGAGAAGAAGAAAAATCTGTTGTTCAAAACAGGATGCAAACGCTTTATTTCGCTTCAATTGCCCATGATCTAAGAACTCCTCTCAATGCAATGATGTCAGCAACATAAACGCTGAAATTATCTAATTTGCCCCATAGATTTAATGAAATACTTGAAATGTAAGAGATGAGCGGAAAGTTTTTGATGAATCTAGTTGAAGACATATTAGTAAATATATAAAATGAATAATAAAACTTTTAGGATTTGTCAAGGTTTGAATTTAATAAATTTGAACTCAACAACTCAAGATTCGATATTAGGAATGTTATCACCGAGGTTTTTACTATGATTAAACACAGAGCCGAGGCGAAGAAAGTTTAACTAATTAAAATCATTGGCGATAATGTACCTCAAGGAATTTTCGCGGATAAAAAAAGAGTGAATCAAGTATTAATCAATTTACTCACTAATGCACTCAAATTTACAAAAAAAGGCTAGGTTGTATTGAGAGTGAATAAAGTTGACTAGATTCCAAGATAACAAATCTCAATCGATAAGAGCTTTAATATCTAGAGTGGTATATTAGGAACACAAGAACGTGAATTAGATTTCCTAGCATAGAAGCAAAATAATGGTTATATTCAAGTTTAGGTTATTGATACTGGCATAGGTATTAGTTTTGAAAATCAAAGAAAACTATTCAAAAATTTTGGAAAACTAAAAGATACATTCGGTTTGAATGAAAATGGGTGTGGACTAGGTTTAACTATCTGCAAAAAAATATCTGAATCAATGAATGGAACGATAATGCTTGAAAGCTACACAGGGGTAGGTTCTACTTTCACTTTCTATTTCTAATTACTTCCAGACTAGTAGATTTCAAGCAGTAATGATGATCCCTATGAAGAGGTTATTGTAAGCTTTAGCTTATTTAGTAAATTGAATATTTAGGCAGAGGAGTTTTGCTTCGAAAAGGATACATTAAGTGATAGATATAATTCAAAGCAGGAAGCTAACAATGTCTATAACAAGTCCTTCACTGCTCTTAATAATAAAGAATCTGATAGGACTAAATGTATGAGCTAGAGTGAAACTGAACTGAGATCATTGGAAAGGATTACTTACTCAAACTCCATGATTTTACCAATGGAAGAACTAAAATCTGATGAGATGGTTTTAAAAAGGAATATTCCAAATACCCAAAGAATCCCAAGAACTTACAAGATACTTATCATAGATGATAACTCATTCAATATACTTGCTCTTAAACTATAGCTATAAATGCTTATAAATGCAAAATTGGTAGTAGATTAAGCATTTTCTGGATAAGATGGAATAGATATTCTAACTTAAGACCAGTAAGACCGAAACTAAAATGACTATGATTTGGTTTTTGTCGATTTCAATATGCCTTCTATGAATGGCATAACAGTAAGCAAATCTGTTTTATTTCATAATACTTTAGATGATGAAAACTATTCAAGAGTAAGAAAGAAGGGGGATTGTCAAATTTGCAAAGACTTCATTTATTCTATGGAGTGCCTAGTCAGAGGATTAAGTTACTTAATACAAGAAATTCGGTTTTAAAATGTTTCGTAAGTCATTTAGGATAGAATTAAACATTCTCTATAGTTGAAAAACCGATAGAAATTACCCAGCTTAAAAAAATCATTGCTAGGGTAGGCATTCCTATTAATAATAATTTAAATATTGATAGCGATGATTTCAATTGAAGATTCCTTAAACTTCTATCTTAATTAGCAAATTATGAGATAATTTCAATAAATATTTAAGATTTATCATAGTCATGCTTATTACCCAGGCATCGCATGGGGTTTTGGGGTTTTGGGGTTTTGGGG